GTAGCTGGTCTATTTATGAGAAAAACAAAATACCCTTGTAGTTTGTTTTCTTTGATTTATACTCCTGCCTTGCGTGAATTGTTGTTTTACAGGATCTTTTTTGTGACTTTCTCATTTGATGTTTCAAATATGAGATCTCACGAAACTTGCTATTTCTCATACACTAAAACTACTGTTTTCAGAACAATTAAAGTGAAATTCTTGATTACTTTATTTCTTTTGGAACATTCAAAGCGAATTTCTTGATTACTTCATTTCCTTTAGAACAATGAAAGTGAATTTGTTGTTTACTTTATGTCCTTTAGAACAAAAAAATTAATTTATTGATTACTTCATTTCCTTTAGAACAATCAAAGTGAATTTCTTGATTACTTTATGTCCTTTAGAACAATCAAAATGAATTTCTTGATTACTTCATTTCCTTTAGAATAATCAAAGTGAAATTCTTGATTACTTTATATCCTTTAGAACAATCAAAGTGAATTTCTTGATTACTTTATATACTTTAGAACAATCAAAGTGAATTTCTTGATTACTTTATGTCCTTTAGAACAATCAAAGTGAATTTTTTATTACTTTATGTCCTTTAGAACAATCGACGTGAATTTCTTGATTACTTTATGTCCTTTAGAACAATCAAAGTGAATTTCTTGATTACTTTATATCCTTTAGAACAATCAACGTGCATTTCTTGATTACTTTATATCCTTTAGAACAATCAACGTGCATTTCTTGATTACTTTATATCCTTTAGAACAATCAACGTGCATTTCTTGATTACTTTATATCCTTTAGAACAATCAACGTGCATTTCTTGATTAGTTTATGTCTTTTACTGTTTGTTATACATTTACTTTAGTTTCTAATAGAGATAGTTGGATGAGGAAAAAAAACTTGTTCTAAAATAAAACTTTCATATCAACAGCAACATTTTATCTTGTTCAGATGGAAATCCGAAAAAAAAATAACTGTTTAGACTACGTTTAGTTATTGAACTAACTAAATCTAAAAGTTTCCTTGATCAGATTGTGGTAAATTTATACAATAAAGTAACTGGATCATAAATACGGACATAAGTAGAAAGGTTGATACGAAAAGTAGTATAGAAAACCAAATCCACCGATTTTAAAATTGTCAACTTTATTTTTGTTTGTGTCGGGTTAGGCTTAAAGTTCTATCTCACGATACCTGTCTTATCCTGATTTATCAGTTCTTTTAACACCGCTTATCTCACCAAATATATTGAGGACGACAGTACCAGCAAAGAAACCTAACAAACTGAGCTAATGTCTCGCTATCTAAAACGTTTAATAACCTCATTATAACTGATGAACAACAACAAAACAGAAAAAGGCTAAGAGAAGACATATCTTACCGTTAACAGTCACTTTACGTCCCCTGGAAAAGTGAAAATACTTTTTTTTTCAGGGAGATGCAATTTTCCGATAATCTTCCACAGAGTAGACTTACGAGGAAGGATTCTACTTGTCACGCTCCCGTCTTGTTCGTAGGGGAGGTTGTCGTGGTTGAGAAGTTTCTCAAGTGAATGCACGAGACAGTCTAGAGGGCTGCGGTAAGCGCTACCCTATCTTGCGCGATGCTGAGCATGATGGGATATGTTTGAATAAAATATCTACAATTTAATGTAAAAAAGAGAAGAAAATACAATGGTAAGAAATACGCATAGGTTTAGAAATTTACACGATTAGAAACGTTATAATACAGAAATAGTTATATATAGATATATATTTATGTATAGACATAACATACATATTGTGTAGCCGCTTCTTATATATGAAATCAGTCCTCATTACAGATTACTTAATCCACAGCTTACATCGTAATCCCTACATTTTTCTCGGTATCAACCGATTCAATACACAGGTCATAGCTTGAGGTCATACAACTTTATAAGAAGTCACTGATTCAATATACTGAGTACACAGGTCACGTTTTGAAGTCATACAACTTTATAATAAGTCACCGATTCAATATACTGAGTTCACAGGTCATAGCGTGAGGTCACACAACTTTATAAGTTACCGATTGAATATACTGAGTTCACAGGTCACGTTGTGAAGTCGTACAACTTTATAAGAAGTCACCGATTCAACATACTGAGTTCACAGGTCATAGCGTGAGGTCTCACAACTTTATAAGTTACTGATTGAATATACTGAGTTCACAGGTCACGTTGTGAAGTCGTACAACTTTATAAGTCACCGATTCAACATACTGAGTTCACATATTATTTTAAGTCTTTGCTTTCCTGTGATTGTTTGGAAACTCCGATTAGACGTATAGGGTACTACTCATAACAAGATACTTTCCAGTGATTGTCTGGAAACTCCAATGAGACGTGTAGGGTACTACTCCTGACAAGATGATTTCCTGTGATTGTCTGGAAACTCTAACAAGACACGGAATACTACTCATGACAAGATGCTTTCCTATGATTGTCTGGAAACTCCGACTAGACGAGGGGTACTAACAAGACGTTTTCCTGTCATTGTCTGGAAACTCCGACTAGACGAGGGGTACTAACAAGACGTTTTCCTATGGTTGTCTGGAAACTCCGATTAGATGTATAGGGTACTACTTCTAATAAGATGCATTCCTGTCATTATCTGGAAACTCCGATCAAACTGGAGTACTACTCCTAACAAGATACATTCCTGTCATTATCTGGAAACTCCGACTAGACGTGGGGTACTGTTCCTAATAAGACGTTTTTCTATAATTATATAGAAACTCCGATGAGACGTATAGGGTACTATTGCCAACACAACGACTATCCAGAACATGTGTATAGATTATATAATAGTTTGCCATTGTTAAAACTCTACAGCCTACGTGCTGTCATTCGTTATTATGTTCTTAATACCTGTTTGACAACACACATGTTCAGAGGCCTTATGGTCTGTCTCCAACATTTCCAACAACAACAACAAATGATGCTTCTATTATTACAGGTGATATAAATACGACAAAGTGTGTCATTTCTACAGCCATCTGTATAAACACCTTCCTAATGATTATTTATCAAAGTATTTGTTTGTTTGTAATTAAGTACTAAGCTACACAATGGGCTATCTGTGCTCTGCCCACCACGGGTATCGAAACCCGGTTTCTAGCGTGGCATAGCGGTATGTCTGCGAAATTACAACGCTAGAAACCGGGTTTCGATACCCGTGGTTGGCAGAGCACAGATAACCCATTGTGTAGCTTTATGCTTAATTTCAAACAAACAAACAAGATTCGATGTCAAAACATCTTAAACTATTTTTTTCAATAACATCCAGTGTTAAAATTTTCTGCGATATATTCCATCACCTTCTGTTTTATTACTTTTTATTCGTTCATTATATTGTATATTGGCGTGTGTGTGTGTGAAATTTAAACTTTCATTTCCTTGGATTTTTGAACATTTGCTTTTAAGTTTATTTTCATTTATTGTGGTTTGATGCAAAATTTGAATATTGAATGGGATGATTTAAGTTTCTAAGTCTACCATTAAACTTAACATGTTTTTTTGTACATTCTAAATACGTTCGAGTCATTTATACGTTCCTAAAATATTGATATTGGTGGATTTAAAGGAAAAAAGAACATATGTTTGAGAAAATCAATACCCCTTCCTTCTTGTTGATATATTAATGAAAGCTGACAACCAGATAAATGGACTTTCCAGGTAGAAGTTGAAAACAAATTAGTGAAATAAGCCATGGTTCTCTCTGCTACTAAGGAATAAGTATCAAGTCTGATTTTACTCTGTGTGCCTTCAGGGCATGTAAACAAAGATGGCTACATACTGCGAACTTTCAGAACAAAGGCTCGTAATTACTTGAAAGTAAGTGTCGACAATGTACGTATTCCTGTATGCACGTGGTCATTACTTGAAATTAAGTGTCGACAATGTATTTATTCCTGTATGTACGTGATCATTACTTGAAATTAAGTGTCAACAATGTATGTATTCCTGTATGAACGTGGTCATTACTTGAAATTAAGTGTCAACAATGTATCTATTTCTGTATGCACGTGATCATTACTTGAAAGTGAGTGTCAACAATGTACCTATTCCTGTATGCACGTGTTCATTACTTGAAATTAAGTGTCGACAATGTATGTATTCCTGTAAGCATGTGGTTATTACATGAAATTAAGTGTCAACAATGTACCTATTCCTGTATGCACGTGTTCATTACTTGAAATTAAGTGTCGACAATGTATGTATTCCTGTAAGCATGTGGTTATTACATGAAATTAAGTGTCGACAATGTATGTATTCCTGTAAGCACTAGTTATTACATGAAAGTAAGTGTCGAC